TACAGTCCAAGTTCACCAGCCTCAGGAGGATAGAGCCCACACTGGGCCCGCCTACACCAATTAGTAATTAAGAAAATGGCAGACCTTTCCAAAGGAGACAGTTCCTCGGATGAGGTTCCCTCTTCCTCGCTGTGCCATGGTGACAATGGACCGTGACTGACATAGAATCTCCCACAGAAATTTCAATTCCCTAAATGACCAGAACAATTCTGGGATCTGTCTGCCTCCCTGCCCCACCTTTTACCCAGATGCTAAGGATCCCAACTCAGGTCCTCACGCGATGCAAGAAGCACTTTACCCACCCAGCCTTCTTCCTGCCTCAACTACCCATTTCTTTTCACCATCTTGATGACTTTAATGCTTTGGTTTGCAGTTCTTGGTCACCACCATCACGCAATTGTAAGCAAAAAGCTCTGTGACGATACATATAACAAATCCTCAACCATTGTCCTGAAGTTTTAAAACCTTTTTAGTTGTCTACTCCAAAGGTACAAGTGTCTCCAGGCTCTGGGGTCATGCCTTGAAAATTGAGATGTACCGCAGAGAACTGTGGCTAGCAAACAAGAAGGAAGGTTCCATAGGGGAGGGAATTGGGGCACAGTGACATTCTAGAAACAGGCTCAGCAGGCGAGAGGTGGCCACAAGAAAGGAACTGGCAATAGTGACAGCCATGAGAGGTGTGCGGCAGAGAGAACACTTTCTCATTGTCCTTGCTGCTTAGAGATGACGTTGTGCTGGACAAGCAACTCTTCCAGAATGTCCCGAGCACTTCAGACCATTTAACCAGTAACTACAGCAATTTATCCCAGGAGAAGCAATACTCAGGAAGACTAAAAGATCTGCCTCAAAAGGCTGACTGAGTTCACTCAAAGCCAAAGGGGAGAACATCATCTAAATTTACTTTAAAAACTCTGATCATTGCTTTTAAAGGGGGCAGGGGAGTGAAAGTAGTAAAGTTTCAGAAGGAAAGACACAGAAACACAGAGAAAGACGGAGGACCGGGAGATGTGTTACGTAAGAGATATACTTATACCTGCAGCATATTTCCCGCAAACTTTGCAATCTGTTTTCCGCTTCTGTGCTTGAAGCAGTCAGCCTGGATACAGTCTCTTCACGGTGTGGTCTGGAGGGATGTACGTGCTGGGGAGTGTTCTATCTGCCCCATACTTCTCACCACTGACACCACTGCCGGTTCCCTTCCTGAACTCACCACTAGCCTGCTGAGCCTCTTTCCAAAATGTCACCATGTCCTGCTTCCTATGCAAGTGGAGCATCCCCCTCTGTCTCTCTGCGGTACGTCTCCATTTTTGAGGCATGACTTCAGATGACTCTGAGTTCCCACACGTCCCATTTTTCATAGCTATCTATAGTTTTATAGTTGACAATAAGTTATTTCAAAAATGTCAATAATTTGTCACAAGTTTAAACTTGCCTTGCTTTCGACCTGTGAAGCATTTAGAAAAAGGGTTTTCATTTTTGTTTTCCTTTAAGTTAACCCTTAGTTTCAAAGAACTTTTGATGGATTGTTTCAAGGATGTTTGGTTTGAATGTGGTAGTCTGGAATCTAAACCAGAATTCTGTGAGTGGGTAAAATGATAATTTAAAAACATAAGATTAACAACAATCAACTTTTCAGGCCTAGAATAGAGGTCTTGGGCCTTTGTCCCACTATTTTAAGTAAGGCACCCTATCTGGAACATCCCTGACTAGACGCATCGTTTCCTTAATTGATGTAATTCCAGCCCGTGGACAATTCTAATGCTGAGAACGTGTTTCTCATCTCTGTGAGCCACCTATGGCGTTACTAAGTGGAAGCACAGTTTCTGTGATGAACCAAAGAGCACCAGCACGTGAAGGGTGGAGGCATGGGAAAAGGGTCACGTCAAGAGACACAAGTGTCTCTCCTGGCACATCTCTACCTTGGCCCATGTAAAACAGAACATATGCCAATGCACCAGGAAGAAAAGCCCCTGAGTGCCGCCAACACCAGACGACAGAGCAGGGAACACGAAAGCATCCAAAGCGGGTTGACAAACTGCAATTACCTCACGTGCGAAGCTGACCAAGACTATGACAGCAGTGCACACCCCAAACCACCCAGAGTTTAAACTTTTAGTTGGTAGTTGGTGTAATATATAACGCATATAAAACATACTGAATTTTCATAAGCTGCACATAGCTGTTCGATCGTTTTATTTGTCCGGATTTACCCCACCGAATGAAGACTCAGCTGAATGGGTCTGCAGCTGCCCTAATCTCTTGTGGCCTCGATTTGCACGTTTTCTCAGCCTCTCCCACAGCCATGTTACTGTCTTAGTAGAGAAAACTAAGACTAGAGGGACATAGGGATATGTCCAAACTCACGTACAAAGAAACCAAACTCAGCTCTGACTCCCGCAGTGCCCCTGTTGCCGGCCTTATTTGGGTATGTGTGTGTCAATAAAAGATTCAAAGATTAAAGTAAGTCTTTAATACACACGTGATATTGCCATTATTGAACTTAAACCTTATAAAATAAAACCAGTAATTACAAGAGACACTCTAGGCATAGACTTAAGAACAGAAATTGGAGGTAAACAACAGCATGTTTTAGAAACATGAGCCAGAAAACATCACTGGGTGGGACTGGGTTCAGGGATAATGGAAGGGAGATCCAACTGCAGCTGAAAAGGTGGACGTGAGGGGAGAATGAAGCAATGAAAACCATTCCCGAGTTTGTAAGTCCAGAAACTCGGGGGAGAAAATGAGCTAGAATATGGCTGCTGTTTTATAGAGTGAGAATATGAATTTGATATTCAATATTCATCTAACCAGGACTGATGTATATTGTGGAATATTATTTTAAGGTGTGTTCATTTGCTTATGTGGAACATTTGTTTAATGATGCAAAGGTGTGCTGCCTTCTTTTATGTGGCATTTGTTTAACTCTGTGAAGCTGTGCTACTTTGCCTGTCTAAAACACCTGATTGGTCTGATAAAGAGCTGAATGGCCAATAGCAAGGTAGGAGAAAGGATAGGCAGGGCAGGCAGGGCAGGCAGGGCAGGCAGGCAGGCAGGCAGAGAGAATAAATAGGAGAAAACGAGAGAAGAAAGATCTAGGAGCAAGAGAAGGACATTAGGGTCCAGCCACCCAGCTGTACAGCAAGCCACAGAGTGAGAAGCAAGGAAAGGTATACAGACATAGGGAAAGATAAAGCCCAGAGGCAAAAGGGAGATGGGATAACTTAAGAAAAGCGGGCTAGAAACAAGCCAAGCTAAGGCCAAGCATTCATGAGAAAGAATAATGGTCCATGTGGATTTATTTGGGGGATGAGTGGTGGGTCCCCAAAGAGTAGAAGAGCCAAAAGAGTTAAAAAAAAAAAAAACAACTATATACGTACATGTAGAGTACAATTTTATGGCACCTCTCTCTCTCTCTCTCTCTCTCTCTCATCAATAAGTATATTGATGTATGTGTGAGGATATGCTCATGTGAGCATATGTGGGGAGATGGGGAATGTTCAATATCTTCTATTGTTCAACTCCTTTATTTTTAAAATCATAGTTATTTGTTTATTTAGAGAGAGAGAGAGAGAGAGAGAGAGAGAGAGAGAGAGAACCCATGTACCACAATGTATGTGTGGAGAATAGAGAAAAAAATTTCAGTTCTTTCCTTCTATCATACATATCCTGGAGTCAACTCAAGTCCTGGGACTTAGCAGCAAACGCCCTTGACCCCGGAGCCATATTGCCATCTTGGATCTTATTTTTTGAGACAGGGTCTCTCAGTGAAACTGAAAGTCAATGTTTCTGCTCAGGTGGCTGGCCAGTGAGTTACCAGAATCCACTTGTTTCTACTCCAGTGTTAGAGCTAGAGGAAATGCCTCGGTTTTGACATATGTACTAAGTATTCGAAGTCTGTTCTTGTTTGCACAACAAACACTCTTTCCCACTGAGTCATTCCCCAGTCTACACTCGTTTTTCCCTGTAGGTGAAATTAGTGGGATATGTGTTTGTGTTTCTTCCTTTGGGTGCTTTCTTATGATAGCTAACTGAATAATACTATAATTAATTATGGGAAGACTGTATGGATCCTCCCTTGGGACCTGTTCTGTATGCTCAGAGAATAATTTGTTTTGGCTTTTTACTCAGCAATGAATCACTGAAGTGTCCCAGCTAGTCCCCAGAGCTGGAGAGATGATCCAGCAATGAGGGGGGCTTATTGCTCTTTCTAGAGGATCTGATGCCACCCCCTGCACCCAAGTAGGGCACTTAACAACTGCCTATAACTCCAGTTACAGGGACCCTGACGCCCTTTTCTGACCTCATGACATACACAAGCACACATACATATAAATATATAAAAGTAAAAATTGGGGGAAAAAGAAACCAGTGACTATATTGGAAGATTTCAGCCAGCATGGTCAAACATTTGTTTCATCTAGACAATTGCCTGAAGTTCACGACAAATTCTGAAATTTACATATTTGCAAACGTGTATTTGCATCCACAATTAAGTTATAAGGTTTTACTCTAACTTTATAAATTTTGTATTTTATAAAATTTTATCTTGTGTTTTTCCTCAGAAACAGGACGAACAGATTCATTTTCCGCCAAGCCCACTAATTTCTTATTTTAAAGGAAAGGCCATGATCTCTAGATTTCAGGTCTACGATTACTCATTCAACCGTCTTCCATCCCAAACAAACTGAAGAGAACAACGGAACCAGCAAATAAGTAAACGAAAAAAATGCAGAGGGAAATGTTAGGGAACAAGTAAAACTCTAGAGCCCAGTATGAACTCAAGATAGAACGTAAGTAGCTCGACAAACCTATAGGGGCGGCGTGTCCTTCGGATTTGAGAAACCAGCTTGTTATGCGCATTGATTAAGTATGTTTTCCTACAACACTCCATCCCGGTTGCTTATATGGTAGAGCTCACCCAACCCCTGCACTTCTCGATGCTTTTTGTAGGAGGTAAAGACGGGTAGGCAAACACACATCACTGCTATTTTACTTACAGCCACGGCCTCCAGGATTTGCTTCACGGCATCCGCAGCATCACGCTCGCTGTAATATCCCTTTTCCACAATCCTAAAAAACAAATACAGAATGCTTCTCAGACACATACATTTCGTTGAGTGGACATTAACGAAACTTAATTAAATCAACGTCAGAGAAGATACATCCGAACAATTGCAACAGCCCTTTCCAGCACGGGGGAAGGATTCCACAAACTGCCATTCTAAAACCTTGGCTTTGCTAACAAAATGAAAAACATTCATTTTCTCTCGGCATAAGCTATCCAATCTCCTGGAGGAGAGGCAACTTTTTTATTTTAATTTTAAATTTTAAATTATTCTAAACATACGCCAAGTAGATGCTATACTATAGATACCTCAATAACTAATTTACAGTCAATCTTTATCCTTATCTACTTACTTTCTTTCCTATTGTATTATTTTAAATCAAATAGCAGTTACCCAAACAATAGTAAATCTTTTGAAACCATCACTATAACCACAACATCACACCTGTAAAATAATAAATCCTTAATATCATCACACTTGCTGCGCTGCAATTTTCTAGGTTTCTGAACATGTTAAATTTTTGTTCACTAGAATTAGTTTTTAAATAAAATTTATGAAACTTGGGTGGTCATTTCTCAAAAAAGCTTAATTTTTGGTTTTGTTTCTTTTAAATGTTACAGCAAGAAGCTACACATTCTCAAAGCAAATGATATTAATCACAGAATTTAAAGCCTCTAAAACGCTTTGAAATTGGGAGACAGGGGAGGATGAAATGCAGGACAGAATAGTCATGATAAAAATTTAAAAAACATAAGAAAATTCCTTAACGATCATAGTTACTAAAATTCAGAAAGGTACATGACTTTATTTTCCACCTAGTTATTCATAAAAACAGTAAAACAAAACTCATAATCTCTTAAAAGAATGAAGCTAGAATATCCCAATATCCACCATTGTTTTATGATTTAGATATTTAAAATTAATTTTATTTTCCGTAATCATGAATGTGGACCATATTCGCTCCTCCAGCTCCTCCTGGATCTACATCCCCTTCCTTACCCATCTGATAAAATGTCCTTTTCAGAAAACAAACAAATAAAAAACTCTTCAAGTCCCATTTGTGCTTCCCACATACTCTGGACTAGACGTGTGACCTTCCGCTGAAGTGACTGACTTACTGAAGCACACCCTTAAAGGGACTTGACCCTTCCTCCCCCGAAGTTATCAGTCATCAGCAGTTCCTCAGCTAAGGCTGGGAACTGATGCTCAACTCTCCTTTCCCTGCTGGAATTTTTGTCTCTGCTCAAGAAGTTCTTTTGCTAGACACTCATTATGCCTCAGGTCAAATAAAATGGAAAATTATAAAAACTGGGTGTTTATTATTTGCTTATGTCTACTTACAAAAGCTTCAGTCGAAATAAGTTATTTTACTCATACATTTATAGATTGATTTAGTGTGTTAGGGGCTGTGGGTGAGTGCGGGTGTACCGTGACACCCATGAGTGTGTCAGGAGCTGTGGAAGGGTGTGGGGGTACCGTGACACCCCTGAGTGTGTCAGGGGCTGTGGGAGGGTGCAGGGGTACCATTCTGAGTGTGTCAGGGGCTGTGGGTGTGTGCAGGTGTCCCGTGACACCCCTGAGGAAGTCAGAGAACAATTTCCAGGGCCTGAAGCCAGGAGCTCATCTCGGCAGCACGAGCCTTTACCTGCGGAGCCATCTCACTGGCCCTGAAATAATCTTCAACTACACTTTCCGAACACTCAGATTTTGAGTCTGAGAGAAGAGGAAAGGCTGAGCACTTTGACTACCACGTTATCGCCTTCTCCACCTTGTGCTCTCTGCAGATTTTATGATATAACCACCAACACCACAAACGTGACTGCTGTCTCCTCCACACGCTCTTCCTTGCAAGCTCCGGTTTTCCACAGCTACCTTAGAGGAAGAGCATTGTTACAGAAAATAGCAGAGGATGACAACTGGTAATTACCTTTCTTTGCGACCTTTTATTCTTAGCGCAAGGTGGTAAAATCATTTACTTTGTGGCTTTCAGAACTTTTGGATCTCCCTCATGCCCATTTGCTCAGGATGAGACTCTACCATAGCTATTTTGGGGAACTCCTCGGGGTTAGCAGGGTTAGCCTGCACAGCTCTGCACTGTTCTTTCTAGTTGTCTATCAAATCCTCAGTACATTTGGAAAGGGAATGCTGTACCATCTAGAGTGTCCCTCTTGTCCTTTAGTATAAGTCTCAAGCTTTGACCTGGATGAAGTGTTTATGTGTTTTTATTTGAGTATAATATAGGTTAAATGCCTGATATGAACTGAAACTTTGTATACGCTGACTTAGTATGCTAAACCCTAATTTGCTTGTGGGCTTATTCTAATGGCATCAGTAGTTAGGAAGTGGAGTCTTTGGTGGATAACTGGGTCACCAGGGTGGAGCCCTCATAAGCGGGATTAGTGTCCTTACAGAGGAGATGTTATCACTGCACTACATGGACATATAGCATGCAAGCATCTTCAGGAATCCAGAAATCAGCCCCTCACCAGAAACTGATCTTCTAACATCATTATCTTACACTTCCCAAACTCGGAATTGTAAGAAATGCGTTTCTGTTGACTATGGGCCACCAGTCTAAGGAATTTTGTTAGACCAATGTTAATGAACTAGTGCAGTGTCTGTATTCATAAATTATTATATGATGTTCAGGACTGTTTGAATGGAGGCATGACAATTAGTCAAAATACTTCATCTAATTAATAGAGAGGGTGCCTTCCAGCAGATATTCACTCATTCTCCTTATCTAAGTAGCAGAACAAGCAACAGTCTAACTTACCGCCATGAGACAGGCCCTGGGTTCTAGCTAGACACTGGGGACTAGTTAAGTCTGAGAAAGGTAGTTATCTAGGGTTGGCATCCTGTGTGTGGAAGGATAGCTCATCTCAGACCTGAGAAGTGAACCTAAGTTTCCCAGATGCAAGACTGCTGAAACAGGGCAGAGAGTATATGCGGAGTACGGGACTAGGCAGGTAGGAAACTGTTCTTAATCATGGAAATAAGGCTACGCTGGAAATTAGAACATGAGGATGGGTGGCAATAGTCAACACACCTTCCTGTCTAATATGAGCCAGGTACTTTCTGGAAGTAAAGAGAATAAGGCTTGATTTGGTCCATGTAGGACTACAGACAATAAAGCAATCACCATAGACCTATACAGTCAAACAGTAGATATGATGTTATGTTATATGATGGAAGGATTTATTAATTCTCTAGTGAGGAGGAGCAGTATCTCTTGAGCAGGTACAGAGAGCAGAGACCCAATGTTCTGCTGCCCCCTCTACCTCATCTACCTGAATTTATGTACTTCATCCTGACTTCTATGACCCTTCCTCTAACGCTCTTCTAGGATCCTTCTACTAAAAGGATTTTTGTTAAACAATTTTTTCATCTTGGCCACAGGGATAGGTTTCTGGGCTTCAAATATTTCATTATAAATATTTTATTAGTTGAGCTGACGGCCCAGGCCACTTGAGATTGACTAGTTAAAGTCAATAGCAAGAAACTCCTTATCACAGATATGGGTTAACATGACTCTGATAATAAGTGAAAATAATAATGGCTGAGCCAAAAAGGACAAAGGTGATGTGTGGACACGGCCTCTGCAGGACTTGAATCATTCACAGAGCCTGGCAACAAGCACTGTTCATAAAAGTCTACCAATAACTGCTCACACTATCGCGACTAATCATCAAAGGAATGGATGGCAGAAAAATGTCAGGCTGAGGCCATCTGGACAAGTCCTTGGCAGATACCCTTTATCACCAGGCGCAAATGCACTGAGCTTGGAAGTGAAGCCCATCCCAGGCACCTTAGCCCTAGAGGGAGATCTTCTCAGCACATCCTGAAAGCAGACCTGTAAGAAGGGCTATAAGTGCGAAGCTATATAGTCTTAGATGTCACTATAATACTTCTTTGTAAATCTTCTTTGAAACTTATTTTTTAAACAATATCAAAGTGATTCAGATTCAGTAGAACAGCACACTTGCCTCATGAAGTGACATACATTGCATTGTACAAGTTAGCTGGCATCTTTTTAAAAAAGGCAACGAAATTGAACATGCCAGGGCAGTCACGGGCTTACATCTCTATACAAAATGTACTAGTGGCTTTGATTTTCGAAAGTAATGAAAGTTTTCCATCACTGTGAGGAGTGTAGACCTTTAAAAAAAAAAGCAGGAGATAATTTTTCCTGTGTTGTCTCTATATTGAAGTGCATCAATTTTCAAGTTCTATAAAATGATTGGAATGTGGTTCAGATACTATCAGAATCTCGAGATCATTTTCTGAGGTCCAAGTCACATGACTTCTCTACATGAGGCAACTCTACAGCACTCCATCGCTGCTAGGCTAGAGGGCTCAGAGCTAGAACAATATGTCTCCCAGTATCTTCATGACAACCTTGGCCCAAGGGCTACCCTGGGACCACCCTGGGAAAACAGCAGAGGGCAGCTTACCTAGGCTCTTTGCTACAACACCCTCTGCCTCAACAGCATCCTTCCTTAACTACTGTGTTTTTTAACTTCCACTGCTTCCTGTGTGGCTCTGCGCCGGCCTTTCCTCCCCGGTTGATCTATTTTCCTTCATAATGTGGCTCTTTCCCCCTAATTGCAGGGTAAGAACATATGGGCACGAAGTATTTTTCTCCGAGGATCTGGTTCGATGCGCGACTCTGGCGCATTTGATTCTCTCAGAATAATTGCCACAAATTGAATTGAGCGCATCTCCATCCAGGCAGTTAGCGAAGGCCCTGCAGCCGAAGTGCTCAAATCTGATCATGTCCTGAGGCCTCAGACTTCCTGGCACAGAGATTATCAGCTCTACCACCCTGTGTACTAATCACAGCTCTTTCTCAAATGGCAGGGCTATCAGGAAGCCATGGTCCACGTGCAAGAGACATTGGTGGACTAATGAAAATGTGTAGCAAAGGGCTGGATGTCAGAAGATAAAAGCCCCAACATAACACGAGTTTCAGGAATCAAAACTACAGCACGGTGCTGCTACATA